AGAGTGGTTTTCAAGCCACGGAGTCCGGGATCCCAGCTACTATCACCCATGTGGGATCCACCACATTAACCACCATGCCACCTGCTGGCTTGATGCTGTCATATTTCTTTATTACCAAGTGAATTATTTTATCACAGAAGAAACTCAGAGAACCTTCATGCAATACAAGAAATCTGATTCAGATCTGCCAAGTCTAAAAAAGAGTTGTAAATGTTATTAGGTGGACACCGTTTTTTGTTAAGTTAATGGTCATGAACACATTCTAATATGTGTTTGTTCCTTCAATGAACACATTGGGCTGAATATTGCACAAGACTTTGCACCAGTAAAATCAAACTTTATGATGCCCAAATATTAGGGTGTGGGCAGACTTCAGCTGAACCAGGCAGCCACCCTGCCTGGTTCTGAAACCAGCACGTACTTCAATAATCCCGCACTCTCCTTGCCCATTCCTCTTCCGCCATTTGCCGTTATTACTTAGTATTTTCAACTTGAGGATTACCATTGCTGCACCTACAGTAAGATGCTGTTACCGTGTTCTTTTTTCTTCTCCTTTTATCTACATTTATTTTATGCTGACTTTATTTCTGTGCCATAAGTTTTTCTTTCTTCAGTTTCTTCTGGGATATCTTTTTCTTCTGTGCAATTTCTGCTTCTGGTTTAGGAAGACTGTGCTCCTTTTCAGTGAAGATCATCTCAATGTGGCAGGGGGAGCTCATGTGTGGACTAATCTGCCCATGAGCTCTGCAAATATGACAGCGCATCTTAGGTGCCTTGTTCACCTGAATATGTTCAAAGACCAGAGAATCTGCATCGAATCCCTTAAGTTCAGCTTTACTCTCTGCATTTTTAAGCCTGTACAGCAAAAATTCAACACTCTTTTTGGGCCACTGACCTTGTCTCCAGGCCTAAGGTCAGTGACCGGACACAAGGCCAGTGGCCCCAAAAGAGCGCTTGGGCACATCTACCAACTCCACCATTGTAACGATGGAATGGCACACACTGCTTCTATAAAGTGACATCCTTCAGATTCTTGGTGGTTTTTTGGACATGCATACCCTTGATGGCTTGGGCAGTTTCATGAATGTTCTTGAAATGAACACGAACATTTAAACCTCTTAATTTGCATGACTTTGGGGTTCTCTAGGTCAAGGGAAGAGTGAACCATTTTCAAAGATCACTTCAGGCCACTTATGAGAAGAGCTACCATGCTTTTTTAACTGACATTTATTGACTCCTGCCACATACAAGGCACCAGCCAGGTACACAGAAAACATGAGAAAGAAAGTAAGAGTGGGAAGAACTCAGCTCCGTAGTCAGCTTTGCCGCTCCTACCTGCAGGCCTTTGACCGTATCAAAAACCTTCACTAGCTGACAGATAAGCTCAAGTGAAGGTACAGGAGAATGAAAGTGCATAGTGCAAAAGAGAAACCTTTGACTAGAAAGAGGTAGCAATATAATGTGCATATTTGCGAAGGAGTTTAAGAGACGCATGTTCTAGAAAGAACTCTGGGGCGAGTTGGTGGCATGGTGGCTAGATCCCACATGGCTGACTGCGTGGTTCATCTCAGCACGTGGTGGCTTGGAAAACATGCCGGACACATGTGTGTGTGTGCTCAACATCCTAAAAGAGGAACAGAGGAGAGGAGATTGTAGCGTGCCCATACCTCTTCCTTTTTCTTTCTCTCTAGTGAGCACAAGTGCCCTATAGCAAATTTCAAAACTAAATTAAAAAAAAAAAAATACTCTGAATGAGGGAGTAAGAGATTTCTCACCTCAGGCAAGAATAAGACCCCAGTAAAAACAGGTAGGTGGCATGGGCTCTGAGCCAGGTCATTTACAAAATGTAAGAAAATATTATCAAATCATGGATAATTTTTACTACACACACCACATGGAGCACCTTATTTAATCCTCCCAAACTCCCTTTGATGTATTACTATGCACATTCTATAGATGAGGAAGTATTTTGAGAAAGATAAGATGAAAAGCTTCCCAGGAAATGAACCAACAGCTATTAGCAAAAGTTTCATAACACAAAGGAGCAAGACCTACAGTCAAAACATATAGTTCCAGTCTCCTGTGAGCTGCTCATGCAGTTAGTTCTCCCATACTCTTACTCCGTCATGGTCCCTTTCCTCTTTGAGTAAACAATGAGCCTGTATGTGTCCCCTGAGTTGGACTGCTAATTTTCTCAGTAGCCTGGAGGTAACATTTCACACACTGGACTCTAGCCTCCACCATACTGCTTCTTTTTGACTTCCAGAATTCAAAAATACTCTAAGCCTACTTCCCGAAGACATTTCATCATGGCCTTCTGATTTCATTTAAGAATGTCAGCATTTGATGGTCACCTGCCAGAGACAACATTCATGAGACCAAGAGCACTCCACTCTGAATACTGGAGGAGAAATTCTACTCTTTTGAAAAAATAGATTAGGAGTTGAGCCACCTAAGGTGCGCACTTCATGAAGAGCTTAGGCTATCTTTTTCTAGCTAAGGACATAGAGAACTTGAATATGAAATGTAAAAGTCTCGGATTTTTTGCGAGAGCCTAAGAAGTGGGAGTTGGAGTTTCTTATTAAATATAACAGATCTAGTCTTGTCCAAAGGTGTCTTTAGTCATATTTAGAAGAGCAAAATATCAATTATGCCATTATAACACTAAGTATACTGTCATGCATTTTTAAATTATAGTATTAAATGTAAACTTTTAAGCTATTACTTTAGTAAAATCCAAAATAGATCATCCAAAGCTATGTTTTGTTGATTGTTTATTCTAGAGTAAAATAAGAGCAACTTATTATATCTTTGTATTCTAGTCTTCATTTTTATTTTTGTCTGTCAAGTGCTAGTAGATAAAATACAATAGCCTAATTTAGGTAACTTTAAAAGGTTTGGCTAGTTAATTATCTGTCTATTCTGTGTTAATATGCTTAAGAGTCTTACAGCTTTCTGTGTAACTATTGGTTTAAAGTTTCCTCCTTTTCAAATACCACTCTTCCTCAAAGTTTTCCCTATGAGTTATACAGAAGATGCTACACTCTTGTGTAGCAAACATGGTAGCCACAAGTGCAGCTTCTAAAGCCTAAAGCCCAGCCCTGAGAATTTAACTTCACTCAGATAATTTTAGGTAGAGAAAACAGCATCTACCTCAAAGGGTAAACGAGGACACACATTAAAACATTCCTGATATGCAGGAAGGGCTCAGTAGTGGTAACTAGTATGAACAGTGAACTGGTACATGCCATGGTTTGTCAATGCGTAGCACTATTTCTGGCAGCAGGTGTCACTCTCTCCCTGAGTGCTAAAAGGCAGTCACCTTTTTTTGTGAACCCAAATATCTGTGAGGTCTAGGGGCATTAGGATGTTAAATGTAGACAATAAAATAATTCTTAAAAGTATCTTATAATTAAACAGCACAACTTTGAGTGCAGTCACAAAGTACTGTTTAAGAATTAAGAGCTAGCAAATTTTCTCACACACATGAGAACAGGAATAAGGGGGTAGGCATAAGAGCCACATACAAACTATAAAACATGGCCGAGCAAAATATTCTGAATTCTAACTTTTGAATTCCATATTTGAACCTCTTTACTGTGTAAGTTAAGAGAGAGAGAGAGAGAGAAAGAAAATCACCAGAAAAGTACTCCAAAGTTTCAAGACAATTACATACTAAGAATTGTCAACTCTGGATTTAAGTTAGAATCTAGCTACTTTAGGTATATTGGCCCTAAAATGATTAGCACTATTATTCCATCTGTATTAAAAGAAAAAACAAAAACGACACAGGGACTGCCCTATAGCCTAGTGGTTAAAGGAGTCAGATTCCCACGTGGCTGACTGGAGTTCGAATCCTGACCCTGTTGGTTGAAAAATACTCTGAAAAAATGAAATGGAGATTGTGATATGATCATGCCCATGGGGGGAAGGGAAGGCCTTGTCTCTCTCTGGGTCTCTGGCCAGAGCATGCATCCTTTGACTATTGAAAAAAAAATGGGACCAGCAGATGGCACAATGATTACATCTCTGGACTCCCACATGGCCAACTGCAGTTTGAGTCTTGGACCCGGCAGCTTGAATGAAACTCACTCCAGGCCTATGTACGTGCATGCCCAAAATCCTGAGAGGAGAATGGAGAAGGCACTGCAGTGTGGCCATTTCCCAGGGGGATGGGGCAGTGGTGGTGGTGGTGGTGATTTCTCACTTTCTGTTTCGGCAAGGGCATGCACCCTATAGCAAAAATCTAGCAGCACAAAAAAGTGTAGTGCTGGAGGCCATGTGGTGACTTTGGTTTTGATCCCTGGCCCAGCTGGCCTGAAACTTACTGGGCACACACAAGAAAATTCAAAATCTAACAGGGCAGATAACTAAAGGGGATCATTTGCATGACTACACTCTGTAGAAGATGCTCCACTCCTTCACTCTCTCATGTACATGCACACGCATAATCATGCACAGACACATGAGTGGTATCATGAACAGAGAACAAAAATATGCATTTTCTATTTTTTTTTTTTTTTTTGCGAGATTTTTTTACTACAGGGCACATGCACTCCCTTGAGACAGAAAGCAAGAAATTCCCCCTCCAGGGAGGATGGCCACACTGCAATCCCTTCTCCTCCATCCTCCTCTTGGGATCTTGGGCATGTATACACACACACACATTTGCCCAGCATGAAGTTTAAGCTGCTGGGTCCAGGACTCAAACCATAGTTCACTACATGGGAGTCCAGCAACATAACCATTATGCCAACAGCTGCTCCCAAAAATATGCATTTTTTAAGCAAAGAGCTGCTTCAGTATCTCCCCCTTTAGTAGGTCAATGGAATTTCCTACAATAGATAATACTAAATAAATACATGTCAAAACTGCCAGTTAAGTAAATGAAGCACTTAAACAGAACTATTCCTTTTATTATAAAACTTAATAATTTAATGATTTTTGTACTTTTTCACATAATACAAGGTGACAACAAATGTTGGAAACTAGAAACCAGATAACCAGACAAAAATGACATTTATTTCAATAGCTCAAAGTGCAAATACAGCAAGTCAGTTCACAAAGTTTCAATTTACAGCTTGAAGTATGATGAAAATCTGATTTACAAAAAATGAAAGGGTAAATAGCAGAAATAAAGCTCCTTAATTTTTCCAAAAAAATTCAAGTAACTTGAAAAATCTTTAGACTAAAATACTCCATTTACATCAATTCAAAAATGGTTTCATTTACAGATGTCAGTAGTGAATTATAATCAAAAGAGTCTTCGAAGAAAAGAAGAATGGTCAGCTCCAGGCAAGAGTGGAAATTTTCAGTGTTGACTATTCCTGATTTGGCAGTTTCAATCACTCACTATATCAAATGACGTGGCTCAATCATTTTGATCTTTAGCTCTAAAAATAAGTTAGATAGAAGGCCAACACCTCTATTAAAATTTTTCTGAAATGACCTGTATTCAAGCCACTATCAACTTGAGACCTATAGTATTTTTTTTTTTTTTTAGATTTGTGCCATAGGGCATGTACACTCACCTGACAGGGGAAAGTGAGAAATCACCCCCAGGGTTATGGCCATGCTGCAATCCCTTCTCCATTCTCCTCTCAGGATCTTGGGTACAGACGTACATGACACCTAGCATGGTTTTTAAGCCACTAGGTCTAGGACTCGAACCCAGTCACCCATGTGAAAATCCAATGCCTTAACCATGCCACCTATATATAGGTCCCCAGGCCTATATAGTTCTGGGGGAAAGGACATAGATGAATACTTCTTCCATTACTTAAAACCTTTCTGTAAGGCTAGAAACATGGCCTTTAAAACTCCTTCATGAAAACTGTATTTAAATATATATTTATTTATTTCTACATATACAGAACTTGTATGTGAAGTAGAAAAAGTTCCCACTAGGAAGATATTTAAAAGTTATTAATGTTCTTTTTATCACTTAGCAGCCAGGACACATGCTTATTTCTGTTCCCCAGAAGCAATGTTAGCTACTAGTTTCAATTCAGGAAATGTATACCTTCAGGAAGGTTTACATGAGGTTTATTCAGTCTTTTTCCCAAGCTTCTTCATCTTTTCATTGTAGGCATTATACTGAGAGTCTGTTCCAAGCAATCTATCCCACCACGTAAATGTCGAGGCATAATTTCCAATGAAGTTCATGTGGTGGAAGTCGTGATGCCGAGACCCAGCGTAGAAAGGGATGAGATTCAGGGGATTGAGGGGAATATCATACCCACTGAAACAAAAAATGATAGATTATTAAAGAAAAATACATCTCAAATAGCCAACACCGTCATTAACAGTCACATGAGCATTAACTAATTCTACTTTGCCTAAATTACTTATTTCTGAGATGGTTTTACAAAAAGCAAAGACTTACAGAGAAGGGTGCATATTCTAGAAATCATTCTAGGAAACTAAGAAGAAAAAAACTAACAAGGGCAATGGAAATTACATATTATATATCAGGGCATGAAAAACAGGGGTTCTTGTATTGAATCTTTAGAAACAGGTCTTCAAGAACTACTTTTCTTTACAATTTTAAAGAAGCATTCTCACCACAGTCTGTATGAGTTATAAATGAAACCCATAATACTAAATATGTACGCTAAATGTACCATAATAATGAAAATACCAGTGTGCTTTTCTATAGTTGGGAGAACATAAATGACTTCAAAAAGAGCCCAAATGAGAGTACCCTCTTTTTATTTCTAACTATATATTTAAGATTGGACAACCAGTTATACAGTCTAAAACTCCCCCCCCCCATCCCTCTCTCTTTAAGGGGCTGAGAAGGAAGGAGGGAGAAAGAAATAATAGAAGGAAAGAAGGAGTAAGAGACATTAGTTACTATTTTTCTACAGAAAAATATTCTCTGTCTAGGAGTAAGAGCATTAATTTTGTTACTTAAGTGGTTTAAAAATAATCATTGGATGGGGCTAGTAGGTGGCGTGAAGGTTAAGGTGCTGGACTTCCTCATGACCCACTATGGTTTGAGTCCTAAGCCCAGAGGCCTGAAAAATCATGCTTCGGTGCATGTATATGCTTGCCCAAAATCCAGAGAGAAGAATGGAGGACAAGCAATTGCAGCATGGCCATTCTCTCTAGGAGGTGATTTCTCACTCTCTCTTTCACTGTCTCTCTCTGGCAAACAAATGCACTGTTGGCCCTACATACTTATTTTATATTTGCCCAAATAATACTTTATTATCATGAAAATGGTAACAGGATAGATGGACTGTAAAAACATCTCTTTTGGGGTCACTAGGTGGTGTGGTGGTTAAGGCACTGGACTCACATGCTGGCTGTGGTCCTAGTCCTGGACCCAGTGGCATGAAAATCATGCTGGGTGCTGCGTGCCCTTGCATTTCCAAAATCCCAAAAGGAGAATGGAGGAAAAGAGACTGCAGCATGGCCATCCCCCCACAGGGGTGATTTTTCACTTTTTCTCTCTTACTCTTTCTGGTGAGCACACACCCTATGGCAAAAATCTTAAAAAACAGAAACAAACTTTAAAACAAAAAACAAACCTCTATTACTTGAACTCTTTTTTTTAGAAAGAGATTTTTGCTATAGGGAATGTGCACTCGCTGGAGAGACAGAGACAGAAAGTGAGAAATCATCCCCCGGGTGGGGAGGGGGATGGTCATGCTGCAATCCTCATCCCCTAGTCTCTTCTTGGGATTTGGGGCATGCACACACACCTAGTCTGAGTTTTAAGCCTCTGGGTCTGGGACTGAAACCACAATCAACTGGGAGTCCAGTGACGTAATCATTATGCCATCTGCTGGTCCCTATTATTTAAACTTTCATCTTTTATCCAACAATTATGCTCTTGTTTCCTTAGAAATAATAACGTTAAAAAGATAAACTTATCCCATTATTCTAATTAGAAATAAAGACAATCTTTTTACCATGAAAATAAAGGTAACTTATAATACTTTATATCTGAACAGAAACTGTAACTCACCTGTGGACATCAATAGTTTCTATCAAACGAACAGTAACCCACGCCCAGAGAAAAGCAACATGATCACACAAAAGCAAGATTCCAATGAAAAATCCAGTCCCAAGAATTAGGGTTTCCAAAGGATGTGCATATTCAGCTTCCATTCCAAATGGAGCCTAAAAGAAACAGATAAGAATTCCTTAATATGTTGCCATCGTTCATTGTCTGTGTCAATTTGGCGAGGCTATGATGTCCAACTGTTTGATCAATACCAGTCTAGATGTTAATATAAAGGTATTTTTAAGATGTGGCTACCATTTAAATTGGAAGGTTTTGCATAAAGGAGATTATCCTCCATAATGAGGGTGGGCTTCATCCAATCTGTTAAAGGTCTTGACCTAAGAGCAAAGCCCAAGATTTCCTGAAGAGCAAAACTTCAAATCTACAACATAAAAACATTGTCTAGATTTCTAGCTTTCTGTACTGTGGAAAGTGGACCAAAGACTGCAATATTGCTTCTTTCCTGGATTTCCAACCTGTAGCCTACCTTACAGATTTCAGACTTGCCAGTCTAACTCTGTGAACCGACTGCTTAAAATTGATCCATACACTTCTCTCTCTCTCTCATTTTTTTAAAGAGAGATGTTTGCTATAGAGTATGTGCGCTTGCCAGAGAGACAGAAATTGAGAAATCACACACACACACACCCCACCAGGAGGAACAGCCACAGCACAATCCCTTCTCTTCCATTCTCCTCTTGGGATTTTGGGCATACACGCACACACACCCAGTGTGAGATTTAAGCTGTAGGGTCCGGGGCTTGAACCATCGTCAACTACATGGGAATCCAGCAATGTAACCATTATGCCATCTGCTGGTCCCCCTTCCCTCTGTCTATATAGCCTATTGATTCTATTTCTCTGGAGACTCCTAAAATATATATTCTCTTTAGGCATATAATTTTACAAAACTGTATTTTTTCCTATATGACAATATATTTAACCATACATATAAAAATGACAGTAGTCATTCTCAATAAAATCTTTTTGTTCCTACTAAACATCAAAAGGTCTAAAGATATAAAACCTTAATAACTATCTTTGATGGTTTAAGGTATAGGCTTTAAACAACTGATTTGAACTCTAATTTTAACTTACGGATTTCTATTTGTTCTGCCAAGAAAGGGATGCCTGGTTTAGCATACCATGTAATCATAATCCATGGAGAACAAACTGACAGTCTGTTTGACCAAGGTACATCAAAGCAGTTCTGACCAAAATCACTGTTACCGTGGGAGTCCACAACAGGATAGAAATGTGCCAAAATGAAGTCAAGAATTGCTTTAGGAGTTTAAATATTAAAGGTGTATTGTTTAGAGGTTCTCAATTAATGACTCTAACATTACTACCGCCACCATGAAACTGCCAGGTACCTAGCTGTGCAATGAGACCATTCTACTCACAAGGATGAGTCTATTTCATGTAATATTTTTATTTCAGGTCTTAATGTACCATGAAATTTTGATATTTGTAAAATCTTCTAGAAGTGGTTGTGTGTTTGTGTGTGTATGTGTGCGCGTGCGCGCGCACACACACATGTACTCTTAGTAATCATGCTAAGGGAAAATAAAAGTATCACTGACAATTGTTGCAGATGCTTGGTAATAAAAATAGACTTTTTTATTTCTAACATACCTGAAATTCATGATGAACTTTATGAATGTATTTATATATTCTTTTGTGATGTAAGAGTCTATGCAAGAAATAGTGCCAAGTATCCTCAATGACTGCACAGCCGAAGCATCTTACCAAGAACATATACCTTTAAGATGAAAATACTGTAATAAGTATAAAATAACTTCTGCTTAAACAATCTAGACTTTTCATTGAGATCAATGCTTGAGACACTGCATAAAAACAAATGGATACACCAGTCGATGAATTCTCAAAATTGCTATATATGGCCATGTGATATAACCTGAAAAGAAGTTAGAGATTGACCACCATACCGATTCTATTCCATTTTGATAAAAATAAAGATGTAAAATCAGAGCTAAGAAACACAATCTAAAAATTCTAGAAAAATAAAATTGATGAAGGACTTAAATTAAGACTAATAGTAATAAAATAATTTTCTCCATCAACAAAGGATATAATCTAAGTGCAATAGATTAAAAATAATTTATATACAATAAACCCATATACTGAAACTCTTTGGTATGTTAAGTATACATTATGCACAAAAAGTATACGTCTACATATTGATAGATCTGTAAACACTTATGTCAAGTACACCTGACTGAATTTGATTACCTGACCCCAAATTTTGCACTCAGAGCATATATGTCTTTATATATATATATATATGTGTGTGTGTGTGTGTGTGTGTGTGTGTGTGTATCTGTAGACATAATTTTTAGAAGCCTCAAACTATTTTCATTTATTTTACACTTAAAATGTAGAATGTTTTTTCTTAGGATAAGCCCATACATTTATGTACAATCATATAAAGATGTTATGGAAATTTCTAATGCTAAAAACTCATCTTCCAACAAAATACTACATTGAAATATAAAAAGATATAAAATGGGAACATTTTAAGTTTCTACAATGGTTTACCTTTCTACTATTTATTTCCAAAGTTTAGAATAAACATTACCCAAATAAAGCACCAAGTAAACTTTAAGTATAATTTAATTGGATACCAAACGAAGACTACAGATAAAAATCCAACTTATATCTACATACCATCTTGGCATTCTTTCCCAATCATAAGGAATGTTGAAAAACTCTGTAAAATAATAGGTTCCACAAATCAAAGGTAGCTGGATACAAAAGTGATTAAAAAGAAGTACTTTAAAACATTTCCATTGACCTTCCCATGTTTCTGGTTTATCCTATGGGGAAAAAGACACAATAATATATTTCATGTTAGCCTCTGATAGCGGTAGTTTAGCCTGACGTAAGTGAACTCATTTTTTCTCTGACATTTATACTGGACCTTAGTTCTGTTCATTTTATGCTACAGCAACTAAGGCTCAAAAATTACAACATTCTTGTTTTCAAAATTCTTGACATCACTACTTTGAATAAGTTTGTCTCAAACCTAGCCTCAATGACCTAAAACAAACCAAAGCAGCATTACTAGAAGGAATAACTCTCCTGTCTTTGCTGCCCACAGATCTGTCACTCATTAGCCAGAAGTTTCTGAGAAGAAATGTGTGCTAGTAATATTACAGTTGTGTGTCCCCTGTTATTTAATTTTTTGGGGGGAGAGGTTTTTGCTATAGGGTGCATGCGCTCACCAGAAAGACAGAGAGAGACAGAGAGATAGAAAGCAAGAAATCACCCCCCTGGGGAGGATGGTCACGCTGCAATCCCTTCTCCTCCATTTTCCTCTAGGGATCTCGGGCACGCATGCTAACGCGCCTGGTGTGAGTTAAGCTACCAGGTCCAGGACTCGAAACGCGGACGGCTACATGGGAGTCCAGAGACATAGCCATTACGCTAACTGCAGGTCCTAGTGTCCCCTGTCACTGAAGAAGTTATACATGGAGCATCAGCAGCCTTCACCACACAGATAAATCAGTGCTGCCAGGCATTTATTTCACTGTATTCATTCAGAGAAATAAGTGTATTTTTGTTCATATACAATGATAAAATTATAAACCCTCTGACCTGAGAACTTCAAAGATATATGCCAAGGATGAAGTTCAGATTCAAGTCAAAGTGAGAAAAGTGAGTTCAATGTAATGCATAAAACTTTATCAGGAAACTGACTTGTTTACCAAGTCATTATTTTTTTTTTTTTAATTTTTTGGAGAGGTTTTCGCTATAGGGCACGTGCGTTCGCCAGACAGACAGAGAGAGACACAGAGACAGAAAGCGAGAAATCACCCCCCAGGGGGGATGGTCATGCCGCAATCCCTTCTCCTCCATTCTCCTCTCAGGATCTTGGGCACGCGTGCACATGCGCCCGGCGTGAGTTTTAAGCCACCGGATCCGGGACACGGACTGTGGTCGACTACGTGGGAGTCCAGCGACGTAGCCATTACGCTAACTGCTGGTTCCCCCAAGTCATTATTGAAAAACTAAATTTATCCTATTTAAAGGATTATACTTAAACAAAAAGTGCTTTTCATTTTACTAAACGATGGTGACAGTAAATATTAGTTATTGCTTTGTTCTAAATGTCCTTCCTTAAACATTCAGAAATCTGGGGCCAGCAGGTAGCATAGAGGTTAAAGCGGCTGGATCCCACATGGCTGACTACATGGTTCAAGTCCCAGATGTAGTAGCTTGAAAATCATGCCGGGCTCATGTGCATGTCTATCCAAAATCCAGAGAGAGAGAATGGGAGAGAAGGAATTGCAGTGTGGCCATCCTCTGGGCCTCGAGGAGGTGGTGGTGGTGATGGTAGTGATTTCTCTTTCCTTCTTTCTGTCTCTCTCCAGCAAGTACATGTGTCCTACAGCAAAAACTAAATTAAAAGGAAAAAAAAAATTTATATAAAAAGATAATTCAAAAATTTGCCAACATAATTCTTTTAACTGAATCGCAACATCCAAAGTTTGGGGACCAGTTCTCATTAGTAAAAGCCTAAAGTGGCTACATCCTCGGCCAGTATCACACAGCCAGTTATTAGCCACACTAGAACCAATTGAAATCTAGGTCTTTAGTTCTAGTTCTGTTCTTAAAATTCTTAAGAGTTACCTCCCTGACAAAACTAGAAAAAGTGCTGAACTGATAATCAGTTCAGAGATCAAGGCTCTAATAGCAAGGCTGTCACTAACCAGTTAACTGGTTCTGTGATGCTCAGAACTCAGTCTCCTCAAGAAAACAGTGAGAGAATAAGACATGGTAATTTACAATTGTCTTTTTACGGCTGCTCTGAGCATTATCTAACTAGTCTTCCAAACCTCCAGTCTCTGATTGGGGATAAAATACAATGAAGATTTGGCCTTGGGTTAGCCACAGCACTGTTTCCAATAGAAACTATGTTTAACAGACTTTTCATTTTTTTAGTTTGCTACAGAGTGAGTGCACTTGCTGGAGAGAGAGAGAGAGAGAGAGAGAGAGAGAGAGGGAGAGAGAGAAGGAGAGAGGGGGGAAGTGAGAAGGCACCCCTTAAGAGGATGGCCACGCTGCAATCCTTTCTTCTTCATTCTCTCGGGACTTTGGGCACACAAGTCCTGGTGTGATTTTTCAAGCCACTGGATCTGGGATTTGACTGCAAAATTGGCCATCTGGGATCCAGCTGTCCTAACCTCCATGCCACCTACTGGTCTCACGCTTTACATACTTTCAATGTTCTGATTAGGACTGGATACCCATGTTATTGCAGAGATTACCAAGTTCGATTAAACTACTAAAATCAAATGCTATACTGTTTAGAGTACACATAAATTAGATTAATTAATTTATGTACTGGTTAATTAAAAATCCATGCCTAGTGGAATATCAAAGACAACCATATTTCACTTCTTTATGTATAACTACACCCTAATATGAAGGAGTACCTTTCCTAGGGCCATGAACTTCAAAATAATGCTTTTAGTTCATAGATCTTTGATAGAGAATTATTAACATGTATGATTTTTTGAAAGAAATAGATCCTTCAGGGTCTGCTTTACTTTTTTATTCCTATAAAATTTCCCCCTACTAGTAGCATGTTCATTAAATGTCAAGTTGTCTATTCCATTTGAAAGAGGAAAGACTTTAGTACTACTTAATCACCACCAGCAGCAGCTTCGTTTTTTTTTGGGGGGGAGGGCAGTTTTAAAAATAAATAAAAGCTATTGTATAGGTTAAATAATATAACACTCAAATATTTTGTTTCAGAATTTACAGACTTAACAATTGATACCTATGTCACTTTTTATAGCTTCTATGTTACAAAATGTATAAATCTATAATTAACTTGGACTGATTTTTTTGGTTTCTTTTTAAACCTTTATATTTTGAAAACTTATACAAAGTTGATATGGCAATTTATTTCAATATCCAAAAAAGCTCCATGTATAAAGTATGGACTTTAATGGTTGTAAAATTGGAAGGAAGACATGCTGAGTAGACGTGAAGCCACACTACTCAGCCTCACAATCTCGCTTTATCAACAATTAGTCATAACCAACTACATTACTATTTGTTTTTGTTTTTGTTTTTTGGGGGGGACATATTTTAAAGTCCCTCATTTACCCTTGACTGAAAAAGCCCTTCTCTCTGGAAAGGTTACATTCTCTAGCTGTAAGTCAAGTGCAGAGGGCAGAGAATGAGGGAAAGGATAATTGTGTCAGCCATACAATGAGTCGACCCTATAAATAAATCAATAGATGATACTTGGCAGCCAGAATCACCCCAGAGATACATTAGAACGAAGGTATCCAAACAGAATTCTGCCTTTCCAAGCATGCTCTTTCATAAAAAACACTTTGGGAACTTCAGTGGCCTTAATTTATAGTAAACAGGATAGTGTCTTATGGGTTCTCTCTCTTTTCATTCCCTTCTATTTTTCTTTGTTCTTCTCTCCCTTGGCCTGGAGTCCAGTCACTGGAGCCCCTGCGAGGATCAATGCCTTACTTGCTTACAGTGAGACTCATTGGGGAAGCTACATTGCTAACAGACTGCTACGAGAATGTGAGCACTGACTACTCACCCAATGGATCCACAGAGAATGCAATCTGCTCTCCGTAGATAAATACTCTCAACATATTTACTTTATACTAAGACTGTTAGCCCTTGCATTTTAGTTTGCCATGACTTTTTAGAAAAGTAAACAATGGTTTACCAAGTGCTATCAAACATTCCTCTAACAGGCTAATCCAATTTCTTCCTGGCAAGCATGTCAAGCTCATAGCTTACATATTAATAAACAGAGTTCACTATATCCCTATGCTTCAAATTAAGAAGGGATCATGTGTGTATCTCAACAACTGGTCATGGGCTCCTGAGAGACATTTAGTGCTGTGAAGCAAATACCTGGAAATTAGGAGCATCTCCTTCTTATTTGAAATGATACGAATGCTGCAGAAGTACCATCATATTTTTAGGGGAAATCAACACTTTAACAGCCACAAGCAAGACAACAGCATATTAATAAACAGATTTTTTTAGGCTGTCAGAGGTTGAAGAAAACTACAAAATACTACCCACAATCCCTTTACAAAATTTAGGGACCAGCAGATGTTGTAATGGTTACATCACTGGACTCTCATGCATGGACCATGGTTCAAGTCCAGGACCTAGCAGCTTCAAACTCGCACTGGGCACATGTGTGGTATGCCCAAGGTCCCGAGAGGAGAATGGAGGAGACAGGATTGCAGCGTGGCTCAGAGGGGGATTTCTCGCTGTCTCTGTCTTTGTGGCAAGCTCACCTGCCCTACAGCAAAAATCTCTCTTAAAAAAAAACAAATCAAAATCTATAAACCCAAATTAAATCAAATCACAACAAATAAATACATAAGTGTTTTAAAAGAATCACAATCACCTAAATGCCAATACAACAAACTATTCTTGAAAGATTATCAATATTGATCTAGGATCACAACAGCTAATAACATGTGGCTACTCAACACTTTAAATATCGCTAGTTGAAATAGAGATGGGCTAAATTAGTGTAAAATACACACCAGATTTCAAAGACTTGTGAAAATAAGAATATAAAATATCTCACTAAGAAGGTATTAAACAACACAAATTATAATATTCCATTTCAACTCTAGCATACTCACCTTTTGAATTTTGTATCTTTTCATGAAAGGTATGAATTGGAATAAAAATCCAGGTAAAGAGAACAAGAAATAAAGGGCTTCATGAACTATCAGGGATCCCCATGTAGCGATCTGGAACTTTGTATAATTATCCAACATGTAGTTCCAAGCATTTTTAAATGGTTCTTGCAAAGGATTCTCAGGCAAAAGTGAGTCTACATACTCCACAGCCAAGGATGCCGAACTAAAGATGCTAATAACACTTTCATTTGTTGCCATTTTTTTCAAATCTCTGGAGACAGCTTTATAATTCTGTAAAAATAAAAACATCAATACACTATGAACAATGAAACTCTACAGACATTTATAAATGCATTTCCTGATAATTTTTTAAATAACAATGACTTAAAAGAGTACCAATTTCTCAGATTCTAAACATGTACAGGATAGCAAGACCACCTTCATTTGTGTCAAAAGTGACATGTTACTTTCAGGAGAAGTATTTCAAAGAAAAACAGTGAGAAAGGGTTTAAAAAATTTTTTTTAAATGAGAGAACAAAAAGAGAGGTTTTGTTTGTTTTTGGTTTTTTAATTTGCTCTAGGGCACATGCACTCTCCAGAGCCAGAGTGAGGGAAATTGAGAAAACACTCCTTCATGGGGGATGGCCATGCCGCAATCCCATTTCCATTTTACTCTTGGGATTCTAGGCACACAAGCACACATGCCCAGTATATTTTTCAAGCTGCCAGGTCTAGGACTCAAACCATGCCGTCAGTCATGTGAAATCCAGTGCCACCTGCTGGCCCTAGAGAGGTATTTTTGACAGTCTTGCAACTGCCCAGCCTCCCAGTTAGCTAGGATTATGGGTGCATGCTATCAGACCTGATGTGTTCAGATTGACCTGAGATCCAAACCTGGGCCTCCCGGTGTCCCTGGCTTTGCTAACGTGGCTCAGCCCTGACCTATTTTTTTGTTGTTGTTGGAGAGGTGTTTTTGTTTTTTTGTTTGTTTTTTGTTTGTTTGTTTTTGCTATAGGGCACGTGCACTCGCCAGACAGACAGAGAGAGACAGAGAGACAGAAAGTAAGAAATCACCCCCCAGGGGAGATGGTCAAGCCGCGATCCCTTCTCCTCCATTCTTCTCTCAGGATCTTGGGCACGCACGCACATGCGCCTGGCATGACTTTTAAGCCACCAGGTCCGGGACGCCAACCGCGGTCGACTACGCAAACCGCGGTCGACTACGTAGGAGTCCAGCAACATACCCATTACGCTAACTGCTGCTCCCAGCCCTGACCTATCTTTAAAGAGATTTTCAGTGTAGTCTCCATGGGAGTCCTTCTCTCTTCAATGAGCAACAGTTGGGTTTAAAAGTGTCACTTAAAACTGTAAGAATCTATAAATACTTTTGACTGGGGAAGAAAATGACAGTCATAAACAAAATCAAAGATCAAATGAAAAATGGGGAAAAATATGCCTAATGTTTATGACAAAGGGCTACAAAGTTTTTTTTTTAAAAAGACTAAAAACTCAAGATAAGGCTCTCAGGTGGAAATGGCAAGCAGGCCTGCCATTTCAGTATCAGGTTGGTGGCTGGTCCATTTCAACTCTAGCATACTCACCTTTTGAATTTTGTATCTTTTCATGAAAGGTATGAATTGGAATAAAAATCCAGGTAAAGAGAACAAGAAATAAAGGGCTTCATGAACTATCAGGGATCCCCATGTAGCGATCTGGAACTTTGTATAATTATCCAACATGTAGTTCCAAGCATTTTTAAATGGTTCTTGCAAAGGATTCTCAGGCAAAAGTGAGTCTACATACTCCACAGCCAAGGATGCCGAACTAAAGATGCTAATAACACTTTCATTTGTTGCCATTTTTTTCAAATCTCTGGAGACAGCTTTATAATTCTGTGAAAATAAAAACATCAATACACTATGAACAATGAAACTCTACAGACATTTATAAATGCATTTCCTGATAATTTTTTAAATAACAATGACTTAAAAGAGTACCAATTTCTCAGATTCTAAACATGTACAGGATAGCAAGACCACCTTCATTTGTGTCAAAAGTGACATGTTACTTTCAGGAGAAGTATTTCAAAGAAAAACAGTGAGAAAGGGTTTAAAAAATTTTTTTTAAATGAGAGAACAAAAAGAGAGGTTTTGTTTGTTTTTGGCTTTTTAATTTGCTCTAGGGCACATGCACTCTCCAGAGCCAGAGTGAGGGAAATTGAGAAAACACTCCTTCATGGGGGATGGCCATGCCGCAATCCCATTTCCATTTTACTCTTGGGATTCTAGGCACACAAGCACACATGCCCAGTATATTTTTCAAGCTGCCAGGTCTAGGACTCAAACCATGCCGTCAGTCATGTGAGATCCAGTGCCACCTGCTGGCCCTAGAGAGGTATTTTTGACAGTCTTGCAACTGCCCAGCCTCCCAGTTAGCTAGGATTATGGGTGCATGCTATCAGACCTGATGTGTTCAGATTGACCTGAGATCCAAACCTGGGCCTCCCGGTGTCCCTGGCTTTGCTAACGTGGCTCAGCCCTGACCTATTTTTTTGTTGTTGTTGGAGAGGTGTTTTTGTTTTTTTGTTTGTTTTTTGTTTGTTTGTTTTTGCTATAGGGCACGTGCACTCGCCAGACAGACAGAGAGAGACAGAGAGACAGAAAGTAAGAAATCACCCCCCAGGGGAGATGGTCAAGCCGCGATCCCTTCTCCTCCATTCTTCTCTCAGGATCTTGGGCACGCACGCACATGCGCCTGGCATGACCCGCCAGTTCCGGGCCCCCAACGTCGGGCAACTACGCAAACCGCGGTCGACTACGTAGGAGTCCAGCAACATACCCATTACGCTAACTGCTGCTCCCAGCCCTGACCTATCTTTAAAGAGATTTTCAGTGTAGTCTCCATGGGAGTCCTTCTCTCTTCAATGAGCAACAGTTGGGTTTAAAAGTGTCACTTAAAACTGTAAGAATCTATAAATACTTTTGACTGGGGAAGAAAATGACAGTCATAAACAAAATCAAAGATCAAATGAAAAATGGGGAAAAATATGCCTAATGTTTATGACAAAGGGCTACAAAGTTTTTTTTTTAAAAAGACTAAAAACTCAAGATAAGGCTCTCAGGTGGAAATGGCAAGCAGGCCTGCCATTTCAGTATCAGGTTGGTGGCTGGATGGTATTGGAAATTGTATTACGATGCTGCAGGATTCAATAAACTGGATTAACAAGAGATGATACAGTATGAGAATGAAAATGTGAAGGAAGCCACAAGACTTCCTGAGCACCTTTATAATGACAGGAAGTTTTGCATTAAGAGCATCCTGGACCTGACCATGAGGCAGCAGATCCTGCCTACAGAGCAATGAACAAAATACGAGGAGGATCATTTCTACCTTGAACCATATCCGAAAAAGATTATTTGTGAAAGAAAAGAGAGAAAGGAGTAGTTAGGTTGCAGTCATGGATATAGTTGTCCTTAAGTATTTTTATAAAGTTAATTGAGCCAGAAACATTTCATTTAAAAATTATTTGGTCTGCACATGTATTACTTTAAAGAAATGTCTATTGTGAGCATAAAAAACAAACAAAAAACCTCAAGGCAAAGGCCATTCCCAGAAAAATAAAGGCAAATGATCCCTAAACTAATAAGCTTGATTTCACTCAGATGAAGAAATACACCCTAAGGCAGACACACACAGTTTCGGCAGGAGTGGCAAATCTTAAATTTAACAGAGGAAATAGGCATCGTGATACATTGTTGGTGGGGAGATAAATTAGTTTATCACTTGAGGAAAAACTAGCAACATTTACCACAATCCAAAATGAACCTAACAGTCCTTTGACCCAGTAATTTTCTCACTCAAGTGTACAAAGACGGATATGCTAAGATGGAAGGAAGCATTGCTTACAGAAGCGAAAACAAAGAGGAAACAAGGAAAGCTAAAACATCAATCAGTCCATCAACAAGAGACACGGTAAATAAATTGTGTTAAGTTTAGACAATTAGACAACCACTTAGAAGAATTAAGATTTATATATTCTACTAAGAATTAAGATTCATATATTCTAAGATACACTGTTCAATACTGAGTTGCAGAATAATATGTATAGGCAAGACCCCACTTTTATTTTCGTGAATAGAGTATGTATTTTATCTACGTGCTGTTATGCATATGTGCAGACAGAGACACACACAAACACAAAACACATGGAAGGGTACCCAGAGAACAACTTAGAGTGGTAACCTCTAGGAAGAGAGATTAGAAAGTTATATGCTATAGAAGAGGAGGAAAAGCTTACTTTTCATTTTATACCTTCTATACAATCTTTTTATTTATTTATTTATTTATTTATTTGGCGGAGGGCATGAGCCAGAGGGCAGAAGTGGAATAAGAAAGCACTCCCTCCTGAGGAATGCTTCTACTGTAATCTCTTCTCCTGTTTCTCCCTTCTTTGGGGATTTTAGGCATGCACACATACCCAGTGTATTTCTCAAGTCATCAGGATCCACATGCCTTAACCAGCACGCCATAGGCTGACCTCCAATTTCTTTTTTCTGTAATGAGCATGTTCTACCTGTATAAGAGTTCACGGAAAAACATATTACTGAAAAACTAGGCTCACTCTTCTGACACAGTCGTTCAAGGAGCCAAATGCCATATGGCCAATCCTCAGGCTTGAAAAACATGTTGGTTGCATATGAGTGGGTGTCCAAAGTCCCAACGGGATGGAGAAATGGGGACAGGATTGTGGCATGACCATATTCCACTGGTGGGTGCTTTCCCCATCTCCCTCTCTCTGCTTCTTTGGCAAGCACATGCATCCTTGGCTTATAAACAAAACAGAAAAAAAAACAAAAACAAAAACAAAAACAAAAACCTATCATGGATTTCAAGGTCTCTTAGCACCAAAATAAACTCACACTTTAATTCAATTTTTTCCCAAACTTGGACCTCGCGTGACAAATAAGGATCACAGGTTATCGATTAAAAAAGAGAGAGAGAGAGAGAGAAACTTAAGAATGTCACAATCTGGGGGCTAGCAGGCAGCCTGGGGGTAAAGGAGCTGGACCTCACATGGTCATCTGCACAGTTAACTCCCAGACCTGGCAGCTTAAAAATCACGCCAGAAGTGTGGACATGTCCAAAATCCTTAAAGGAGACTGGAGGAAGAACTGAAGCATGGCCATCCTCCAGGGGGGCGATTTCTCACTCCCCCTCTCACTCTGGTGAGCATATGCTGCACCTTATAGCAAAAACTTAAAAAAAAAAAAAAAAAAGTCACTTTCCAGGACCTGCAGTTGGCATAATGGCTATGTCACCAGACTCCCATGTTGTCAATTGTGGCTCAAGTCCCAGACCCAGTGGCTTAAACTCATGCCAGGTGTGTGTGCATGCATGCCCAAAAGACCGAGAGGAGAATGGAGGACAAGGGATTGGGACGTGGCCATTCCCCTGAGGGGTGATTTCTCACTTTCTGTCTCTCTTCTCTCCTGTCTTTCTGGTGAGCAAACAGCCCTATAGCAAAAACCTCCCTCAAAAAGTCACTTTCCTAAAAATGTTCATTGCTGTTCCTAATTTATGAATTATGGCAGACTACTCTAACCTGAATATTTCAAAGCCTTGGAAGAGGTCTTAATAGTTCTTAATGTTCCTACCCCTCCAAAGCAACCACTTCATGTAGGGGACACTTGGGAAGCTTAGTCTACTTCTTCAGGTCTTTGAAATTTACTTCAGTCTATTCTGTCCTTCTACCCTAATCATTCTCAAAGGACTGACAGCATGGTGACTAGTGTTACAACCTGTGCATCCTAACCTCAAAATTTCTTTGTTCTTTCATCTGTTCCTCAGACCGACTAGTCTTTGTGTTCTTATCCTACCTCATCAAGACCTTGCCTTTCATTTATTCTTTCTCAACATTCCTCCTTCCCCCTTAAAGGAATTCATTCCAAAGTCTAAAAATACACAAGTCTTTATTTCTTGAGAAAAGCTTTCCTAACCTTCCCACCTCTCCCAAGCGACTGTCCTATTTTGTTCTTTCTCAAAGAAGAGCTCTGTGTGAGCTTCCAATGGCTCAACCCACCTACGCAACTCATGCAACTACTTGCCAGGGGCTCTACATCCACATTAGGCTTATCCTCAGTGGCCTTCTATGCTGTGAAGTAGGACAGTCATTTTAACCCCCATTTTCCTTGAGGTCATTACCAAATTTGAAAGTGTTGAACCTACAGCACTCACAAGCCCTGTGACTTTGACGAGTTACCTCTCTGAGCTGCAGTTAATCATCTGCAAAAATAAATAACAAAAGTTCTTCTAATGAATCTAAGCAATAACGCCATGAAAAGTGCTTAGCATAAGACCTGGCACAAAGAGGGCTGGCAGATAGTATTGAGGTTAAGGAGTCGGATTCCCATATGGCCAACCACGGTTTGGGTCCCAGATCTTGCAGCTTGCTTTCTCATTCTCCCTCCCTCTCTCTCTCTGGTCAAACTGAAGAATAGTTATGAATAAAATTAAATAAATAACTTTTTTTTCAAATAAGGACCTGGTACACAGTAGATACAAAATCTAACAAGTATTAAGCAATTTCTATGTGCCAGGATCTGTGTTCGAAGAGTGTCCCATGCTCCCTACATTTAGCTCTCTACATTTACCCTTACCACATCTCCATGAGGGAGAAATTGTCACTATCCTTATTTTATAGTGAAAAATGTTGGTTAGACAGATTAAGCATTTTTAAAAAGAATTATTTAATTATTTATTATTATTACCATTTCACATGAGTTTTACCAGAGGAAGACAGGGAGAGAGAGAGTGTGCAAGGGAGTGATAGGGAGGGTAAGAAAGCAAGCTGCCAGGTCCGGGACTCGAACTGTGGTCAGCAATGTGGGAATTCCAATGCCTTAACCATCATGCCACCAGCTGGCCCCAGATTAAGCAACTTACCCAAAGTTCTATGAAAGCTAAGTGGGAGAACCCATTCACTTATCCATCATGCTATACCATAATGATAAACAGTAAAGGACATAGTAAGTATTATAGTACATGGAGAATTTCTACAATTTACTTAAGTCTCCTAAAGAATATTCCACATGAGCTGTCTATATTTTCTTATATCCCATTGTCTCTAGCAACTATTGGGTCATCGGAAAAGTCATGATGTACTTTTCTGTTTTTCTATGCAAAAGTGTATCATGAGTCTCCAATGGCCCAATACAATATGTTTTCTATCCTCACCACTGCACTTAACTTACACCTATTAAAATCTCTAAGAGAACAAGCAGGTGGCATAGTGGTAAAGGCTCTGGACTCCCATATAGTCAACTGCAGTTCAAGGCCCGGACTCGGCAACTTAAAAATCATGCTGGGCTTTGTGTGTTTGTCCACAATCCTACCTGGAGACTGAAGGAGAAGGCTGTGGTATGACCATCCAACATGGGAGGCGATTACTCTCTTTCTTTCCACTTTCTGTCTCTCTCTGGCAAGCACATAAGCCCTATGGCAAATCCTTAAAAAAAAATAAACACACACACAAAACAAGAAAACTAAAGATGACATAGCTATCAAATCCAACAAACATTCTTCAGAGTTTATTTTATTTGACCAATCTGAGAGATTTGACAAGATCTGATATTTCTCTCTTTGAATACTCTTCTTCCTTGGTTGTTGAGATTCACCTGCAGTCACCCTGACAGAGTACAGTGCCATGGGCGGGAAGCAGGGCAGAGTGGATCAAGGCTAGGCAGAAGGGCAGATCCAGTGACTCAGCCAGGAGATGAGAAAGAATAAAACACCTTCTGACTTGGTAGGCCAGTGGTATGGCTCAGGAGAAAGGAAGACTTGAAAATCGAGACTGGAAAGTCCTCCTGATGCCTTCCTTCCTCACTCCTTGCTAACTTCTCCATATTCCTCTGGGTGAGCTTAACTATTTGCTCTTTTAGAAAACATGCTGATAGCCACCATCTACCTCTCTACCCTCTCCCCTTGACTCCAGGTTTTGCTCATCCAAAAAGTCATGTCCAATTAGACAATTCAGACATATCAAATTCAACAAGTCCAAACGTTCAGCAACTGCTCCTCCCAGCCCTCCACTCCTCTAAGTGCCTCATTTGGTGAAGGGCACCATCATCTCTCAGTCATCTCAGACATGTCTCTCCCAGCTCTACTGCTTCCACTAAAAGTCTTCAAATGCTCATCAGCTTAAAGACATTCCTTTTAATTAACATTCAGGCATTTACTCCTCATAAACAAGGACAGAAATGAATACATTGCCGTCAACAGAACAAGGGCAAAGACAGGAACTACAGGGCAAAGGTGAAACAAGGTCTCAAAGTCAATTTTCGTTTTCTCACTCTTCACTCTGGAGCAGGCTGACTAGATCTTCAGAAAAAAAAAAAGCAATTTCGTTATTTGTGGATTCTCTGAGAAACTCGGACGTTTAGCTGTCTACCAGGGTCTGTCCTCGGACTTCATCTTAAATTAAGATCTGACTGCACCAGCTCCTTCATTTTCTGGACTTGTGCTCTCTCCAAGCTTGCCATTCTTAAGCCCCCTCTCGGTAGCACGATCTACTGAAACATCACCGTTAACCCACTTCTGGAAATTGTCAAAGTTCAAGGAAACGCCTCACCTACGGATATTGAGCAAGGCCCTCTGCGATCCACCACCGGCCCTGCCAGACCTCCCCAGGCTTTCTCTTTCACCTCCTCGCCATCCTACACTTCATATACTGACAGTTCCTATCCACTCATGGTTCTTCCTGCTTCGTTCCCTCCAACTACGGGAACGACATGCTCTTGCTGGTACTGCCCTCCTATAAACCCCTACTCATCCTTCAGTAACCTCCTCTCAGACGCCCTTGCCCACCCCGCCATCCCCAAAGCACGTGCACACAACACACCACATCTTCCCGTGGCGCTCTGGCTTTGGAAGTTTCATCGCAAACACCCTGCACTATAAACGATCGTTTCCTGTACCCAGTCTCCCGAAGACTGTACACTCT